ACTCACTTTAATATCTTTATTTTGTAATCCAATCTTGCCAAGTAAAGTCCTAGTCTTCCTATGACATCAAATATTCATCTTAACTGATACTAGGCACTTGGTTAGACCTCTGAGATATCTCCTCAGCCCTAGTCTCAATGATACTGATGGATATTCAGACTTACCAAGTTATTCCAAATGAGTATATCACTCATTTGTCCAAGTCAGAAATCATTCCAGAGTCGGATTGCATGTCCACTTGCCATGTACAACTTTTGGGTGCAAAAATGATAAAAGGTGTAATTCTTCAGCGATTCCAATTATTTGTGTCTCTGCCACATTTGCACAGTGGTAAGAACAGACAAGAAGAAAGACTTCAGAGCAAACCCAGGAACATTTGTAGAAAACTTGAAAATAAGTGTTCACTGAAAGTTTCAAAATCTATTTTTAAATATTCTATTTCAATCATCATTACCAATTTCAATAGTAATTACATGATAATTAATCTCCACCAGAATAGGATTAAAAGATTAAAGGTCTTGTGCTGTTCTATTGGAGACTATCCTTTAAAAAACAGTACAAAACCAAGATAGAGCATCTTTTAAATGTGTAGTGATGTTGACATGGAGGTACATTTTCATAAATTCATACTACCTATTCTTTTACAAAATAAATAAGCAATAAACGCTTAGAATTTGGTCTAAATAGACAACTGAGTGTTAGACACTCTTCTCTGTGAATCTATAAATCTTGAAAAAAATTGGGTTAAAGAAACAAAAATATAAGCCTGTCTGTAGTAGTAACTTTTCAGGAGTGTATCTGGTACTTGAGCTGAAAATAATGCCTCTGGCTGAAAATTTAAATATTTTCTGCAATACATATTTAACTGCCATATTAAAAATTCTGGTACCCTCAGAAACACACTACAATGATAAGATTATGTCAATGCTATAGTTTAATTTCCTCAGCATCGACTTTTATATCCTACTTAGGAGAACTTAGATGGATTATAGTAACATTCCAGTGTGCTTTAGTACTTTGAGCTGTCAGGAGGCAGCCTTCACGATGCACTACATGGTAGGTTTGTCTGCAGTTTCATGCGACACTGTTACAGTCGTGATCCTTAAAAGACCTGGCTTCATTTGTAGAAGGATTTACACAGATTTTTTTCAGCAGCTCTTTAGAATTTCAAGCTTTTGCTTAGAATTGGCCTGTATCATTATTCTGTTCTGTCTTTCAGCTAAAGTTTATTTTTAAAGTGTAAGTAATTTTTTTTCCCATGAGAATGTAGCCATATACAATAGGTTCTTCTAAATATAGGAACATATGATATAAAATGCCATATTATAGACAATATGAGCCTGTAGAGAATTCATTTTTTGTATCAATCATGACTTCATAGTCAAATAATTAGGTGATACATGTGTGTTTTGCTTCAGATTATTTTCCATGAGAAGTGAAATAATATATTTCAGAAATGTGACCAGTGTAACTTTATAGGTACTGATTTACTATAGAATGAGACAGAGAAAACCACAAATACTGCTCTTCATGCAAAGAGAATTTAGCTTCATAAAAAGTAATGTTTTGAAGCTACATGTTTGTTTAAAATATACTATAAAACATTTAAATACAATTTCTAATCTCTTCCTAACTCAGTGTGGCATGGATTATAACTTTTCATGTCATATTTAGAAGTGTATCACATATATTTGTGATACTTGTAAATATAATCCATACTCCTGTTGTTAACCATGTTGAAAAATCTGACTCAATCCACTTTCTCTTGCCCCAGTGTTGTTCTTACCTGAGTTCGAACTAGTGTGGTGGACAGTCCTGGCTCCCTTACTGCACCCTTTTCCTGAGATGTGGATAGTCACATGTTTCTAGGTTACTCAGTCATGTTTAGAACTGTGGTTCACATGTGGGGTCATGTCAGTAGCTATCTGGCAATGTCCAGAAACATTGTCATGCCTACTACATGGGTGTATAACTGGAGTCTAGTGGGCAGGAGCCACGGATGCTGCTAAACCTCCTGTAGTGCGTGGTGGAGTCCACCGCTAACTCGTGTCCAGCCCGAGCTGTCAATAGTGCCACTGTTGAGAAAGTCTGGTGTGGAGAAAATACTGAAATAAAATTACACCCAAGGAAGCTTACTAAAATGCATTTTCCTTTATTTATGGATAAGAGCCAAATAAGAGTGATTTAAAATGTTCACATACCAGTTTCTTAACATATGTTTTAATTTCAGTCACCAGTGTTCACAGTTTTTCATCAAATGGCATGTTGTGACTGCTCATCCATAGATATGTGCTGTATTAATTAAAGCGAACTGGAAGCTGCAGTTTTGCCACATGGAAGGTTTTGTCCCTGCCCTACTGACCTCCCATGTGCATGTCCTTTAAATGACTAACTTTATGAAATGCACACCATGTCCCGAACAGCTGGTCTTTTTCTTCCTTTGTCTTTTCTCCCTTCATACTTTTTTTCCCTCTTCATTCTGGTTGGCAGAACTCCCCTGATTGCTGCTGGAGTCATTGGTGGGCTCTTCATCCTGGTCATAGTGGGTCTGACGTTTGCAGTTTATGCTAGGAGAAAAAGCATCAAAAAGAAAAGGGCCTTAAGACGATTTCTAGAGACAGAGGTGAGTTGCTTATTGCTTTTTTTAAACACACTTAGAGATTTTCATTAAGTTTGAGATTGAGTTGATGCTCAGTTTTCTAATTCAAAGGAAAATTCTGTTCAATTTCTCAATGGGTTTGGTGTTGTTTTTTAAAATTTATACAAAACTGAAGAAGCAGCAGCATATATAGTAAAGGCAATCAAAGTAAATTTATACTTTAGAGAGAGAGTAGAGTGGAGATTACTATATTGGGGAAAGGATATGGATTTTTTTTCTCCAGTGGGAATTTCCATTAGAAAATTCTGATCTCAATAGCAGCTGAGCTGGGTAGAGGATATCTCAGTGGTAGACGTAGGAACACACAAGGAGATAAAAATTTTCTGGTTCAAGATGGAATCAGATAGGCAAGCAATGTGTACTATAATTGTGATCATTAAATCAATAGCCAATGATCTCATTATGCCAGCTGTGAAAGGCTGAGCTTACAGAATAAAGCTTAGTGTTGTAATGGCACAGAACTCACATGATTCATGAGGAGCATTTAATATTATGCATGGTAGTTATTTTGAATATGTAAATTGCACATAAATTATTATAATTCCTCTGATATTGCCACACTGATCATGCAGGCTGTTAGTTTTCCTTACAGAGCATATAGAAGAAAAACAATTAGAGAAGACTTTACAATACCAGGTTCTGCACAACCCTCACCTATCTTGTTCTCTGGCACCAATATCTGTGCCAGACTGAAAAATTTGGAACAATTTGGATCTGAAAATTAGACCACCTGGGTTTTGTATTCTCTTATCAGTGTGACAGGAACCTGGATTCTTCTTCACAGTAGCACAAATGGGAATATTCTTTCATAAATTTTGTACATGATAATGACTTTGATGTGTGTCTCTTTTCCTCCTGAATTTGGGACTATGTAGAATAATCATGGGGAAGTATTAGGAGACTTGTTTACAACCACATGCAGGAATGTCCATTTTGAGGACGGAGTTCTCGAAATTTGAATGTGAAGTCCAGTAAACACACTTGTTCACGCAAAACAGAATAAAATGCATGCATAAGAAGACACGATAACAACGTGTATGTTCAATGGATGCTTGCAAATGTTCGACTCAGTTGCTTTCAAAACAGCACATGTGAATGCAAGTGGGGAAAGACACGTGTGTTATGCGCTTTCAGTTTCCCTAAGATGCTGCAGGCAGATGGAATTCTCCTTCCTGGGCAGCTTAGAGCAGTTAGTGAGAGAATTCTGAAAAGGTAGGAAACTACAGATGGACAAGAAAGTAAAGCTTGGGATGGATATATAGGTGATTGAATAAATAAAAGAGAAATTATTTCTCTTAGCCTCATGCAAGGAAATATTTTTACTATGAGAAGATTTATGATGCTTCATCTTCCTTCTTATAATATTGTATCCTCTAAGGAGTTGTCATTTTCTTGCTAACTAAACTTATTGATTGGCTTTATAGAAGGATTTTATTTTTTATAGAAACAATTTAGCACTAAATTATTTTCTATTTTCAGGATAAGTAATTGTAGATTTTCCTATCTTTCTCCTAGTGAAAGTTACATAATTAGGATTTTCAACCACCATCTAAATAGACCAGGGATTCTGTTTCTACTTTTTTTGTTTTGTTTTGTTTTTTGAGACAGGGTTTCCCTATAGTTCAGAGTAGCCCTAAACTCACTTCGTAGCTCAAACTCACAGGGTTCCTCCTGCCTCAGCTGTCAACTGCTGGGATTGTTGGCATGTACCACCATGCCCAGCCCACACAAGGAATTTTTAAGAGAAGCAATTTAGATCCATGCATTCTAAAGCTAGAAATCTACATCAAGCTAACAACTTATTCAAAGCCTGATATATTGTTGGAATAAATTTAAAATTGCAACACTATCCCAGAATCATTTTGTTTAACACTGACTTTATTCTATTATTTGCATAAAAGTCCAAAAAACACTTTTTGCAAAGGACATGTACTGAGATACCTGTGTGATATATTAGTAGATGCTCTGATTAAAAATATTCCTAGGATGTAATCATAGCCCTTGAAGAGTAACAGATTGAGTCCCTGTAAGTTGCCTGATAATGAACCAGAATTTCCACCTAGTATCATTTCTTTCTTTCGCAGTCCTCAAATGTGACTATTGCTGCACCTTTTCCTCAAATGGGAAGTGAGGCAGCCCAGAGGGATGAACTGTTTTCTAGCCCTGTGAGTCAGAACACCATTCTGCCTGGCCCTAACTCAGTCTTCTTTCAACTATTGCATCACTGGCCTGTGACGTGAAATAAGCGCTTTTTTTTTTTTTTTTTTTTTTTTTTAAGTTAAAGCATTCAGATTCCTACAGAAAAATGTGTTTGCTGAAAATGGAAAATTAGGGCCGGTGAGATAGCTCAGCAGTCTAAAGTGCCTGCTTAGGCAAGCTTAGGCAATTGCGGGGACAGCAGTTCTATGCCCAGCACCGTATGCTTCTCCAGCCTCATCCCCAGGGCAGGCTAAGCTGAATACAGAAGGAAGGAAAGAAAGAAAGAAAGAAAGAAAGAAAGAAAGAAAGAAAGAAAGAAAGAAAGAAAGAAAGAAAGAAAGAAAATGCACTAGGGTTTTGCTACTTAAAAAGTGTTGTGAAGCCATTATCATACCGCAGTACCATAAAAATACAAAATTTCAGATGTACCCCATACCCACAGAGCCAGAGTCTGTACTGTGACAAGAACCCCAGGCATTTCATAGGGTCATTTAAGTTTTAGTAACTCTGTCCTGAGGTCTTGGTACTGGCTAAATTCTTTTCCCTTTTCTGCACTGAGATATTTAAGTTTTTCTAATCATCATATCTCCTAGACTAGCACATCTCAAGGTAGGGCATATTCATTATTTGAATTCACCCAGGAAAGAAATCAGAAAATAGAAAAGAGTTGGAAGGAATGGCAAAAGGTGTGTGTATGATGGCTAGTAGATCATATTAAAAGATACTATTCAAAAAACAATATTTATGTGTTTTTGCATATATGAGAATGAGGAGATAAGGGGGAAAGAGGGACAAAGGCAGAGCAAGAGCAACTGATTATTGCATAAACAGGTACACAGTCTTACCTGCTTGCTTTGCAGCTGGTGGAGCCCTTAACGCCTAGTGGCACAGCACCCAACCAAGCTCAACTTCGTATTTTGAAAGAAACTGAACTAAAGAGGATAAAGGTCCTTGGCTCAGGTGCTTTTGGAACCGTTTATAAAGTAAGTAACACACACATTCACCATCAGTTATTTAAGTTTTGCTTCTGGCTTTTCAAAAACAATAATAGACATAGCAATTATTTTAGCCAACCGAGTTTCTGTTTCATATTCAGACAGGACCTTTATGTTATTGAAAAGTTGCTGCAAAAATGAATTCATTAATTTTTGTTGAACAAGCTGGGATAAGCAGACAGGAAATGCTGGTATGAAGCCAAATATAGGTCTTTCTTTCAATACCTTTTGAGCCCCTTTCAAAATTGTTCTCCCTTCGACAAATGTCTATTTCTCTCCAACCTGCCCGAAGAGCCCATTTCTCTTCCTGCTACTCAGAGCCGCATGAAATCTCACACGTTTGGGCCAAGTATTGTAATTTATTGCTCCTCATTCATTCTTCTTTTTTTAATCCATAAGTATATTTATAAGAACTCTAATGTCTCTTTAGAACCCACTTGAATGTACTGATACATTAATAGCCTAGAAATACATTTGAAACCATTTGGCTGCCTTGTCACTTATTTGATTTATTAGTTAATTCTCATCATTTTGATGTTATTGCCATTATGTGCAAACTAAAATTAACTTTATATGAGAAATCCAGGCCTCATAGGAAGAAAGGATAATGTTATGAATTTTCAGGAAGAGGTACTTTTTGAAAGGGAAAGCTCAAGTGATGGCTTTTGCCAGTTTGCTTATTTAGCTTACTTACAAAACCAATCTAAAGGCCAGGCCCAAGGTTAATTATGGTGACATTTACTTTGATAGTAAATAATAAGAATGAGAAATCCTAATGCTCATCTTTTTTTTTATAACATCCTTTACTACAGTTCTTGGAAATTTATTTTCAGTAAGTTGGGATAAAGACAGTCTTGCGAGAAGGCAAGAAATGTAGTGCAAAGAATAAGATTAGCTGAGGGTTCTGTTGTATGCCATAGGACAAATCCTTAAAAAGATATTAGAGTTTCCTTTTCTTATGAAACATTAATAAAATTTAGTGTAGGACAAATATATATGTTTACGGATAAAACAGACAAAGATAAATGGCCAATTTTAAATGTATCATAAACTAACTCATTTTTAAAATAACTCAGTCTTGGATAATTTCTAAATTACA